CTGGTTCTTCTCTTGGTGTTAAATGTCTGAACTGTAGTTTGAAAAAAACCCAAACCCAACCAAAACCAAAAAAACAGACTTCAGGTCTATTTGCCCTCATTTTGTACTCAATCTCCAGAGAAAACCTGACTACTGGTTAATTATTTGCCAAAGTATTCAATATTTGTCAAGAACATTTGGATGACTGTGGCTAGTGCTTTATGTCAATCTAAATGCACTTCAGCTGAGGGTTTGCTGTTGTTTGGTTTGGTTCAAGCATGTTGCAACAGTGCTGATGAGCAGCGATTTTAAATTTGAAGATCTTATGTGTTCTAATCAATAGAACATGGAAAATAGCATGTGGAATTACACTGGTAAAGGATATGTTTCATATAACGTTTATTGTTACCAAGTGAGATTCCTTATAATGAGAAGCATTTGCTGGCAATGATTCATTTTGAACTGTAGTTCTTATTCTTTGCTCTTATTTTTACCATGTTGTGGCCTTTGACCTGGAAGTGAAACTTTTGTCCTTTTGACACTAAAGGTTAACAGAGCAGGAAACTAGATCACTGTGTGTCCCTTCTTCAACCAGGATAATTTAGTAATTGTGCAATTATCTGAAGACTCCCATTCTGATACTAAAAATAGTATTAAAAATTAAATGAATGTAATTAAGATTTTCTAGGTCCATACGAGTCATCTGTTTTCAGTTTTCAGCAATTATATTCTCTTGCACATGAAACCAAATTGACTCTAAATTTTCAGAGCCACTGGTCTTTTGTGGAGCAAAAAGTGGTTTCACTGAGTCTTCTGACTTTGGTCTTTTGCCAGTTGATGTTTGGTGGATCTGCAACGAAGGGTCTTTTTTCTCAGTGTACAGTTCCAAAAACTTAGGTGAATTTTTTGGGGCACTTTACTCCACCAGTAACAATGACAAAGAAGTTGCATTATGCTGGGGTGAGTTGCCAGTGATGGTCTGAGTTAAGGTGTTTGAAAAGTGTCTCTTATTCCTGGGGATATAAGAATCTACACAGCTGCTATATATATGGTCTTCACTGAAATAAAAACAATTTTTTTTTTTTTTGCAATAAGACCTTATTTTGCTTTCCTTTTTTATAAGCAATCTCAGGACCCACCTGCTGTGAAGGGCCTTACCTTAGCCACCAAGGTGCGTAAAACCATGAGCAGCCGAGTGCACGAGGCAGTGAAGGCAATCGCGCTGTGCCACAACGTGACACCAGTGTACGAGTCCAACGGGGTGACGGATCAGGCTGAAGCCGAGAGACACTATGAGGACTCCTGCAGGGTATACCAGGCCTCCAGTCCTGATGAGGTCAGTATCTATTCGGGTGTATAAAAATATAAATACAACCTTGCTTGTTGCTGGAAAAAATAATTATTATTTGCTGAAAGTACTTCAGTGTAGTGGAGGAGATAATTTTTTAATGCATTTATTGCACTGATAACCCCTGAATAGACCATAAGTGCCCTCTCAGCTGATGTACTTCAGCCAGATCTGCCTCTCTGCCCGAAGCTACAGAGTGACATGGAGACTAATCTGGCTGTTGTACCAGTCTCTGCATCGCAGAGTTTTGTTTGTGTTTCTGCACCTTTTGTCAGGGTATAGTTTGCAGTTCAATGCTATGAGTCCCTTTGACCATGTTTGCTAAATTATAGGCAATCTTGTCTTGTTTGGAGAGGGGATGACTTGCAGGAGGGGGTTAGAGCACTCCCACAAGACATCTTGCACCTGATCTACAAGGTGTTAGAACTTCCAGACCAAGTGAAAAGTTGTAAATCATGCTGGGTAGCACTGCTAACTCAGGACACATCCCTTCCCATGCAGATGGGACCGACCCGGCGCCCGAGTTAATTCTTCAGAGTGAGCAAAGTGCACAAGAGTTTGTCTTGGAGCAAAGCTGTGCCCTATGAGTGCTCTGTGGGCACCCAGTCCAGCCAGGGCTACGTGGAGTGGTACAGTAGAGAGAAACTTTGCAGCTCCCCAGCAACACGCTGGAGACTTTGCTGAACACTTGAGAGATCAGGTTCAATACAGGATTTAGGATTAAAGTGCTCTCTGCCACCCTCTGCAAAATTTGGAAAATCTAATTTAGAGTGTTGTTTCCTTCTGTGATGAAGACAGGAGGAACAAAATATTGGTTCATGCATTGGTTATGCTTCTTGGATACATTGTCTTTAGTGCAACCAAGGTAAAACAATTTGTTTTCTATTAATTTGTACAATTACACTTGCTCTATGCCATTGAAAGAGACTCAAGTTTGAAACTCCCCATAAGAATCCTACTGATGGTATGAGATCATATCACCCGTTTGACTACATTCAAAGGGTTCTTCCGTTTATTGCCCCAAATAAAGTAGATTGCCTCTGATAATAACATTTTCACCTTTGACATTGAAAGAGAAGCTGACATTGCTCATTGTTAGAGGTGCGAAATTATTTGCATAGAAATAAATTTATTCGTTAGCCCAGCTACGAGAGGATTTTGAAATGACTGCATGTATTAACAAGGGACTGGCACACAGAGTTAGTTTCTGCATTTCATATACATTCAAAATATTCCCTATAGTGTTTTTCTTCCCAAGTAGGCAGTTGATTCATTTCATATAATGTGTTCTTTTTTGTCTGTATTACACAAAAGCTGCATCTTTGCTTTTTCCGCCCCCCTCCTCTACTGTTGTGCCTACAATGACAACGAGCACTTACCCCTCCCTGGCTTTGGAGCTGGTGAGCAGTGTGCCTGCGTGTCCTCTCCCACCGTGTGCTCTAGGTCGGTGTTTGCTTACCTGCTTTTCTCCTCTAATGTGTTGCTCTCCCCTGTAAAGACAGCTTTAGAGAAATCAACTGCCTTTGCATTGAAACAAGTTCTGAATGATTTCCAGATGGTAGTTTTTGTGATCTGCATTTAAGTTAGTTTTTTTCTTAAAGCATTTACTGGCTATTTTTGCACAGATCCTCTGTTTATTTACATATGTACTGTGGTATACAGTGAAGTCAGTGATTTTTCTTTTCCTTTTTCACTTTATACTGTTGTCTTTAAAATATTTATGCAGCAATTTGTCTCAAATACCCAAGGGATTATTGTTTGTTTGTTTTACTACAGCATGATAACTAATCCTTCCAAGATTATTGTTTAAATTCTTTTTTCCTTTCTTGTGGTGTTTTAAGTAGAGAATTACAGTGGGTTCAGAAATCAGATATGCTTTGCTGAACTGAGGAAATCTTTTCTGGAGGTCTTAGATATACAGATATTGTTTAGACATGCTCTGTGTATGTCATACTAGATGGTACAAAACGCAGGATCAGCACAAGTAGAGTCCTTGAGAGGAGAGCGATGCTGTTAAATAACATTCCCTGTAGGGGAATGGCTTTGGACTCCTGTTAAAGCCAGCCTTTGAAATCCTATATCAATAAAATATTGCCATGGCAGGGAAGGTCAGTTTATGAAATGAGTACAAAAACTTGTATTCTCTTTACTTTAACAGCAAGGGTAATTTCTACCAGTTGGCACAGGATTCATTTCCTGTAACAGAAAGCAGGATTTCCTAAATTTGTTTCCTGTGCACGCTGCCATTTAGAAGTCTTGAAGTATCTTTATTCAGATATCGGTTACAGCCTTGGGGCTCTGCAAGCGTGTCAGTTGTAGCCATACAGTAACTAACAGGGGAAATGAAATAGATATAATCTGATCAGAGATAAGAGTGCCTGGGATTCCTGGGCAAACAGTCTTTAACCCTGACAACCCACTGCAGCTGCCAGGACATGAAAGGGTGCACCGATCAATTGATTTCTGCCTGTTGTCTGTCTGCCTAGGCAACCCTAAATGGGACGTTTGTAGAGCAACTCATGGCTCAGAAGGATCAATTTGTCTCTTTAGAATGAAATTTATTAGTCGATATCCACTTCAGTGGTGGCTTGGGTGATTTAATTCTCAGAAAGAGCAAAGTTTGGGGGATAGTGTGCCGAGCTGCTGTAGCTGCTCTGCTTTGTAATGCTCAGATCTGCATCTGACTCAGCCTGCATGGAGCTGCAGACTCCTGGAGTGCGATCAAGGACTTTATTAATTTCTTCTCATCACTGAGCCGTGGGCTCTCTGGAAGGTGTATGAGGAGTTTCAAGCCTGCTTAAATCTTCTTGGTTTAAGCTGTAAATATATTTTTGCATCTTGAATGTTTCTCATCTTTTCGCTGAGAAAAAGCGGTTATCTGTTTGCATGGTGCAGAGTAAACCTCTTCTTCTGCCTGGCACTGAGCTGGAAACATGCTCCCCATCCTGGGGTGCCCAGACCCTGCCAGAAGACCCATGACTGCTTGTGTTGCCATCGGTGTTGTCCGCTAGTGCCGCCGCACTTCCCAGAGGCTGGACCCATTGTGTTGTCTGTTGAATGGGGATGGTAATTTCAATGCTTTTAGTACATCTGATAGGAACACTTGAAAATTATATCACTTTCTCTGTCAGTAATTACTCATTAAGTACTATAGAGACTGGGAAGTGGCATGTTCAAAGGGGTCAGCCCCACTTCCCCTCCAGTGCTGAATGCCGTTCACCTGGAGGGCCATTAAGGGCTGACAGGACCCATGTCTGCTTGGGAGCAGCATGGAAAAAGGGTATTTCTTTCATTATTCTTCCCCTTCCATTGACATACCTTTTTGTGGTGTCCAGACCATCCGAAACGACTGGTGTTGCGCAATGCAGCGCAGTTAGTTTGAAGCGTGTCATGTGCACAACGTAGCACCTCGGACGTGCTGCTCATCCGGTTGTTCCTCTGCACAAGTCTTTTCTTTTGGGAGGTTTAAATGCTTCCTGACATAGGATTTAAATGAGATGCTGGCAGGGAAGAGGAGAGGAGGTGTCTGTGAAAGAAAATAGCTTTAACGGACTGAGCTGGGAGCAGAGATGTGTATCTCCAGACATTTACAGCTTACCAACATGGGCAAATCAACAGCCAGTGCTGCACATACTGAACATCATGTAACATCATGCTGTGAAAAATTCTCGATAACTATTTATTAACCCCAGAGTATTGGAAACCCAAGCTCCATCTCTGCTCTAGGAGAGACTGTTAGGAGGATTATCTAACTGCACACTTTAATATGCTATGGATGGCTTGAAGAAACTTTTTCAAAAGATAAGCTTGAAAGAGCCTTTGATTTGTTGTAATCTTTGTGGATAAGCCTGCAAAAACTTGCTAATATTAAAACAAATATTGATTCAAATTGATTTAAAGGTCTTTCGAGGCAAAGCCAACTCAACTATTTTTTTTTATCTGGCAATTTAGGACTACTTTATGAAAGGAAAAGTTTATTTTAGGTTGTCTGTTAAGTCTAATTGGGGATGAAAGGAAGCTGAGTTCACAAAAGATTCTCCAATTAGACCCAACTGTATCAATTCGTCTGGTAAAATCTTTACTCATCGCAAGTATTTATAGATTCCAGTTTTATCTGTATGTGATTTCCCAAAATAAATTTGATTTTTGTCTAAGGTATTTGTGGTTGCTTAAGGCAGTAAAGGCAGAACCTGAAAGGCACAAGGGATAATTAACCTTAAAGTCAGCAGCAACCATGTGCCCAGCACTCTCATGCCTTTGAAAATGTCACTGTAAAATACTTCCAGTATTTTGTGTCTGTTTGGAGAAAGTCTCCCTTGATCCTTTCTGGAGGCCAGTGATATATGGGCTCATGTCAGCTGCTGCTCCCATCCGTTACTGCCAAGACACCTTCTAGAGTTAAACCCTTGTATCTCAGCAGCTCAGTCTTAGATGGATGTGTCGGCTGACGTGGGGATTCTGTGGGGATCATCAGGGAAAAAAAGAAAATACTTTGGTCTTCTGTCATGACTCTGATTGTAATCTAGTGAAAGCTTGTAAAGAATCCAGTGTTTTAAGTCCTTAAATACTAGAAGCTGCAATCAAAATGATACCCACATAAGTTTGATTAAATGAGTTCTGGTGTGCGCCTTGAAAAATCTGGGGTTTGTTTTGGGTTTTCGTTTTTTGTTGTTGTTGTTTTGTTTTGTTTTGTTTTTTAATGTTTGGGAAGAAGGAGTTCTCTGCCAAGAGGTGTCTGTGAGCCAGCTTTCAGCTGTCTTGCAGATCAGTACAGAGGTTGAAAGTTGATGAACTGTTACCACCAAACAGATAAGAGTATAACACAGAGCTCATTTTGTTTGCTTGCTTTTTTAATATGAATTTTTAATGTGTTCTGCATTAGTGTTTCTGGCTTTGATATTGTAAATCCAGGGTGAATGTATTGTTTTGAATTCTTGATTTCATAACCAACAAGCTGGGAAATAGCACATTTAAAAAGTAAGTGTTTGTAAAGAGATTTACCTGATGTGCTGAAGCAGAGGTTTGGGTACCCCCAGGCCTTGGCAGAGGATATCTGCGCCTGCCCTTGCTGAAGGATGTGGGTACCTGTGCCTGCCCGTGCTGCAGGATGTGGCAGTGGAAGGCAGGG